GAAATTGATAATTTGTGCTCCCTAAAAAACACCTTTAAAATCCTCCTAAGAGGGGCCGCAGATGGTGTAATGGTTACATCGTTGTACTCCCACATGGCCAACCATGGTTCGAGTCTCAGACCTGGTAGCTTAAATCTCATGCCGGGCACATGTGTGTGTGTACCCAAAATCCCAATTGGAGAAGGGAGGAGAAGGGATTGCAGAGTGGCCATCACATCCTAGGGGGTGATTTCTCGTGCTCACTTTCTCTGGCGAGTGCACACCCGTATAGCAAAAATCTCTCTTAAAAAAATCAGTCAAGGGACCAGCAGTTAGCGTAATGGCTATGTCGCTGGACTCCCAAGTAGTCGACCGCGGTTCAAGTCCCGGACCCGGTGACTTAAACTCACGCCGGGCGCATGTGCGTGCGTGCCCAAGATCCCGAGAGGAGAATGGAGGAGAAGGGATTGTGGCGTGGCCATCCCCCCTGGGGGGTGATTTCTCGCTTCCTCTCTCTCTGTCTCTGTCTGTCTTTCTGGCGAGTGCATGCACCCTATGGCAAAAACCTCTCCCCTCCCCCCAAAAAAAAATCAGTCAGTAAATAAAATGCACCTTAGAATTTCTTTTTACACGGAGTACCCATACTATCCTTAGAATGATTCACTTTTCAGAAATCCAGTTTTCCACACAACTGTTTAGAAGCAGAAACAACTGTTCAAGAGTTGCAATTGGGTACTATTGAGAATCCCCTCTTCTGTGTTGTATTACTGCCTTTGAGCAGTGTTCTCTCTCTCCTGGCTTCACAGAGCAGAGTGCCTAGACACAGCTTTGAGTGATAATTTCCAAAGCTTATATAAAACATTTACACCTCAAGAGTCTTTTTAATTTGTATTGTTTCATTCCATTCTTCCAGTTTGGAGTTTATGTCATTTTAAAACTTCAGTTTTCAATAGAGTAGCAACCCAAAACATTTTTTAAAAATAATTATTTTATTTTATTTTATTCATTTATTTATTTATTTTCATTTGACCATAGAGGGATAGAGAGAGAGAGAGAGTGAGAGAGCGAGAGAGAAAGTGAGAAAGCAATCTACTGGGTCCAGGACTCAAACCATAGTCAGCCATGTGGGAGTCCAGCTCCTTTAACCACCATGCCACCTGGTGGCACCCACCATTTTTTTAAAAGAATTATTTTATTTCACTTATTATCATCATTATTTTTTATTTTGACCAGAGAGAAAGGGAAAGTAGGAAAGCAAGCCTCCAGGTCTGGAACTTGAACCATGGTCAGACAGTGGAAGTCCAGCGCCTCAACCACCATGCCACCTGCCAGCTCCGACCCAAAACATTTTATTCATAATCTCACAATTAAGGACAGAACAGACTTACTGTGAGTGCCCAGAGACCTGCCCATCCAACTACTGCCATTGGTGTCTCTTTGGGCTAAGCTCAGTCCATAGCAAATTGATTTTGGACTTGAACTAAGGGTATCAGGAGCCTTTAACGATGCCATCATGGTCTCTCAGGGCTACACCCAAGAAGCATCTGTAGTTTCAGTCAACAGTATGTAAATGTGCAAAACCGATCTGGAGGCAGAGACAGTCTCACAGTTTGATGGGTAACATTTATTTCCCCACCTGATCAAGACTGTCTAGATGTATTGGAAGTTGCAGAAATGGAAGTTAATCCCTGGTTATGTGTTGGAGAGAGGGGAAGCTCAGATTAAGACTTTTCTGACTGTGGGCATTATATCAATTAAGAGCCCCACTGTTAGATGACTTCGTGTTGTTATATGTGAGTGTTTGGGCCCATTTTGATCAATGTATAACAGGTTCTCTCGCTACATAACATGCTTTATTTCTAGGATGCATCTGCGTTTTTAAAACTCTACTAATTGAAGTGTCATTGGTGACAAGGGAAACTGTATTTGGAGTGACAGAAGCTTTCAAACTAAAAATAAAGCAGTGGTTCTCACTAACCAAAGTTAGGGAAAATGTGTGCAGTTTCAAAAAGTACCCTGAGGTTTCCTTCATATTCCCACTAGTTGAAAAACAATTGTGTTCACTGGGCATGTTTGCATGCATGCCCAAGATCCCGAGAGGAGAATGGAGGAGAAGGGATTGCAGCATGGCCATCCCCCCTGGGGGGTGATTTCTCGCTTTCTATCTCCATCTCTCTCTGTCTTTCTGGCGAGCAGATGCGCCCTATAGCAAAAACCTGTCAAAAAAAAAAATTGTTTGTGTTTGTTTTTTTTTAACAATAGTGAAAATACACTTTTTACTAGCTAGAGTTAGTGTACTGTAGTGGCAAGTATGAATTCAGATGACAAAGTGGCTCTGTGGCTTTTCTCTAAGGAAAAGATCTTTGGAGAATATAGACAGAAGCACTGTGTTCCAAAATTAGAAGGCCTTGGTGGTTCCAACCATGGTGTGATTTTCCTTCCCAATCAGTAAGAAGACTTAAAAGTAAAAGTTGAACTGCTTTTTAGTTGCTTTTATTCCCTCATCAGCCCTTCATTGAATTATTTTACCAGTTCTCTTACTGAAATAGATGCAGGATAAGAGAAGGAAAACTGTTTGGAATCAGAAGACCTGGGTTCAAGTTCTAACTCTGCCGTATACTGATTTAAAGTTGCTTAAATTTATGAGTTGACTTGAAGCTTGGGGCTTGATATTAAACTTGAATGAGGTGGGCTAGTGTCATTCTGTTCCTAACAAAGTCCTCTTCCATATAAATGTTATTGTTAATAACTTACAAAGAATTTTTCTGGTTATTAATGAATTAGCCTATGACTGACATCTGTGGGAAGAGAAATACCTGAGAGAAAGATAGAGCTAGAGAGCAATTGTAATTTTTACCTCTCCCCCAGAGGGCATTTGTATTCACCAGAGAGAGACAGAGAGAGAGAGAGAGGGAGAAAGCATCCTTTAACTGGGTGTGGTCATGCCACAATCCCTTTTCCATTTCTCCATCCTGCTGAGATTTTGGCCACCAGGGCCAGAACTTGAACACACTCATCCATGTGGAATCTGGCTCCCTTAACCACTACACTACAGAGTTGGCCCTGTCTTAACATTTTTACTTGAAATAATTTCATATCTATAGAAGAGTTACAAGACTAATACAGAGTATTTCATCATAGCCTTCTCCCAGAGTATCTAGTTTTACCACTTGACCACTTTATCATTCATTAGGAGAGAGGTCAAGTATACTTTACAGGTCTTATCTTAATCATTGGGACAGTCCATTAACATATAGATACTATTGTCTCCATTTTGTAAAAAGAAAAGGTGGAACTAGGAAGGTTACCCATAGCAGGTAAGTAGGAGAGATGGAACTTAAACACAAGTCTGTTTCTCACCATCTTCCTCTATTAGTAGACCTAAAGATTTGCATTCTAGCCCAGATTTTGTCTCTAATGTCAGTGTAACCATTGGCAATTTACTTTGCTGCTATTCCTCATCTTTTCCTTCTGGCCCTCACTCACCTTGTTGTAAAGACTAGTAATCTTCAATGAAGCATCCTGAGCTTTTTAATCTTCATAAATCAATGTTTGGTCTGATATTGCTGATTAAATAATTCATTGAAGGCAAAAATAGTGAAGGTGGTATGAAGAGTTTGGTGTTGAAGTCACTGGTGATGTCTTTCCTTTACTTAGCTTCGATGTGAAATATATGGAACTGCTGTAGTTCAGTTGCTGTTCTGTTTTGCAAGGGGGCAAACACAGAGTCAGGCAAACTGTCCAGGAGTGCCAGACTGTTCTTTGCCCTAAGTGTCCTCCTGAGATCAAGATTCTCAAGATTCTCATGCCTCTTCCTGACTGGGCTACAGGCCCCTATGCATGTTGCTTTTAGGAGAGTAGGGAAAATAATAAGGTTTGGCCTTTGGATTATCTTCACCTTCTCTGGAGTTGAATTGAATTTTCTCTTGTCAACTGTTTAGCTCAGAGAATCTCTTGGTTCGGATGGCAATAGATTTTCTAGAACCTTGAAACAAAATTGTGTTTCATGGACCAGATGTAGCTGGCAAATGTGTGTTCTTGGATTGCTTAATATTTGAATTTTTTTCATTAGCAGTCAACATTTAAAAGCCAGAGGATTTCACATAAAAACTCATATTTGTTTCCATCTTGGGCCCACATAGAGCATTTGGTTAAAACTACAGTAAAGTAACATAGAGCATTTGGTAAAAACTACAGTAAATTAGCCATAGCTTGCTCTTATCTCTACCAACCTACTTCGTGCTTCACCCCTGTAGACATTTTTTAAAATATTTATTTTATTTTATTTATTCATTTATTTATTTTAATTTGACCAGAGAGAGAGAGAGGGAAAGTGAGAAAGCAAGTCACCAGGTCTGGGACTCTAATCGTGGCTAGCCATGTGGGAGTGTCCAGCACCTTAACCACCACGCTAACTGCTGGCTCCAGCTCCGTAGACATTTGAACTTTCAGCCCTTTACCTAGAACTTGAACTCCAGTTTTAAAGCCAGCAAAGTACATGTAGAGCTAAGCTGGTGGTGGGTTTTTTTTCCCTTGGTTGTAAAAAAAAAAAAAAGAGAGAGAGAGAGAGAGAGATACCTGGCTTTCCTGGGTATAGAAAAGTAGCCCACAGGTTAAGACCAGGACTTCTCCAAAATCACTATTATCCTGGCTCCTGTTGGAGCTGCATTTCCATCATTATGGGGCTGGCATGGCTCTTGGATCTCTCAGAGCTTCAGGCTTCTTCCTTTACATCCCACTTAGTTGAGAGTCATTGCTTCATCTCTGTACACGAGTGCTGCTGCCAGCAGAGGGTGCTGTCTGCTCAGTGAGCCTGTTGTCATCTTGACTTAGCTGAGCGGCAACTGTTGGGCATGTGCCCTGGATCTGTGTTGAGAGTTTGGGCATGTCCATTTGGTTCCCATCCCTAGTGCCCACCCCTTAGACCCTGGCCAGGTTTATTGTGTCACTGGGGACTCTGTTCAGTAACAGGAAACTGGGGAAAGTTTAATTGTTTTCTCCTCTCCCTTTTTCCCATGCAGCTGAACAAAAGGTTCATCCTCAGTTTTCTCCATGCCCATGGGAAGCTGTTTACCCGGATTGGGTAAGTGTGCAGGATGTTTATTTTATTTTCCTACATTACAAGTCATTTTGGAATTTAATATTGTTAGCAACTAGACTGTGTTTGTAACTGAGGGCATAGGGTGTGAATTCTTAGAGGCCTCCACCTTCTCTTCTCTTCCCTTTACTCTATCCTACACGA